TGTAGGTGGAATTATTAGAAAAAATTCCGTTCTCTGTTTGATTTCTCGCTGTGCGAAACTTAATGTGAAAATAACCTCAGATTTAAAAATTGTGATTGATGGTGGGTGGTAGGGGAGTAAGATGATGAACATTGGGGGAAAAGGACAAGGAGTTGGGGCAGTATTAGTGTTGAAAGGTTTTATTTTTGTGAGTTAGGATCAGTGTGAGAACATAACGAGATTGTCAACAAAAGAAAAATGAAAGAGAGAGTGAGGAAAGAAATAGCACAAAAAGTGATAAAGAATTCTTTCAGGAAAATCATTAGACAATCATATATATATATATATATATATAGAGAGAGAGAGAGAGAGATAGATAGATAGATAGATAGATAGATAGATAGATATAAAGAAAACAATTGGAAAATATATTATTTAGCCACTGCCGACGGGCTCCGTCAATCCAACTTTATCAAGGCAAATTTAAAAGCGAAATGATTTCTAGCTACATTTCGTTTTTAAACTTGCCATATTGTTTAATATCTGAGAATAATTCTGAAGGTAAGACCATTTGGATGGAAATATCCAGAACGAGGCTTACACAGTAGCGTTCCCCTTTTTAATATTTTGAATTTAATGTGACTAAAAAACATTTCGCTTTTAAACTTGCCTTGATAAAGTCGGATTGACAAAATGTGTCGGGACTGACTAAGAAATATTTTTTCCAATTGTCTTCTTTTTATCCAAATTGTCTCATCTTCAGGATTATTCTGAGAAATTTAACTATATATATATATATATATATATATATATATACAGAACTGTAATGAGAATGAAAATAATATAAATTCTAATCTTCACAGCATTAATTCAAAAGAGGGCCCAATACCAAGAGTAGAGCAATAATTATTTATTATATATTTTTACATGCGGATAAAAGCAATTGCCCACTACAAAGATGTATTCTTGTTTCGATGTCTTATGTGCATCATGACTAGTGGGAACCAAAAATGGTTACGATAAAAAAAAACGAAACAATGTATATATATATATGTATTATTCATTTGAATTTGCATGGATCAATCCCATTGGTATGGCAATAAAATAAACAAATCTCATCGCCCCTCTCACTTGTAACCATCCATCACAATAAAATACACATTTTCCAGCGCTAAAGCTAAATTAGTAAAATAAAGCTTCATATGCTTCAACTTTGAGTTGTTACTATATTACAATTGGTTTGAACAATTCCTGGTAAATCACCCTTCCTACCCACTCATATTTATTTTTTTTTTTCAAAATATTACTATTCTTTCTAAAGCTCGTCAATTTCTTTCGACTTTGATTCAAATTTCTCACTTTTTCTTGTCCGATATTAGGAAAGGCTCTGTACATTCTACTATTATTATTAACAGCGAAAGATTTTATTGAAAATATTTTTCAATAATTGTCATCAAGAAACCAACGTGTTATAATCCACTCAGGGCAGCCTCAGGACAAATATTCCCTGATTAATTTCTATAATAACAATTCTAATCAGCCAATCACAAAGGATAGAATCTCAAAGAGGAACACTTCCGTTTTGCACTCTGGTCCAAAACGATCGATTACACTTTGCATGCTTTATTCTCCAAGAATGTCAACAAAGACTGGAATAGCAGACCGACTTTATTTTAAAAAAAAACAAATTGTTCTAATATAAAGACAGCTGTGATGATTATTTATTCGTTTAGTCATCCATGTGAAGATTTTCGCGGATGTTGAGTAAGATAGGAGAGGAACCGATAGTGTTGACCTTTGCCATGAAGTTAATCTCAAAACAATACGGTTTGTTCCTGTCACTCGGCGGTAACCACTTTCTCGAGGCCGAAAATGATCATAATTACCTTGGCAACAGGGATTTGTACAAAGGCCATCCAAGAGACATTAAGAGAATGACCTAATCTTCTTATCACGCGCACTCGTGTGTGTTCTTGTGTGTGCGTGTGTATGTGTATGTAAATACCTCGTCTATTTATTTAGATATTAATCTTTTTAGTTACATCAATAAGCCCTTTATAATGTATACGATTCAGAGTTCCTCATCACAACACAGAAGGAAATCTTTCAGATAGTGCGAGCTATTGTTATTCTCACAAACAGCAGTCCATTTTTATATTCTTTTTAGTATTTCTAATATTAAACTTGGGAGGCACGGTGGAGTAATGTGTAGCGGCTGGAATTGAGGAATCGGAGAGCCGAGTTCGAATGCCAGTCAAATCCATTACATTCACTTACGTGCTAATACCTTTGGGAAAGGTATGAATCTTCTTATTCTTCTTCTTCTTCTTCTTCTTCTTCTTCTTCTTCCCCACCCAGCTGTGGGTAAATAGCAGGATAATCTGGGTTCTATAACATTGGGTGGCAACCAGTCTAGAAGATGGAAAATCTCTGAATTCAAAACCGACCTGGAGAAGGTTGGGCTCCGTCAGTCTCTCTTGCCCAAAAAAAACACCATTTTTACTGCAGCTGCAGTACACATGGTACCCCTACTGGTTACGGGATAAAAAAAATAAAAATAAAACAGTGTCTATTAAACTTGTTGCAGTTAAGAATGTTAAACGGCAACCAATAACTACAAATATCTTGTTACACAGAAAACAATAAAATACTAAAACGTGACGCAAATTCAAAAGATAAAAGATATCCCATGCAGGAATTTATCGCTAATAAATAGAATCAAAACTTAGGTGTGTAGATTAAGTAATAATATAAAACTTAAATTTAAGACATAAAATGAATCAGGGAAAATTTTTAATGAGATTGTTTTAATGTCAAAATCTTGTCAATAAACGCATCAAGGAATTGTTAAAAATCTATAAATGTATCCACTGATAAAAACGTTTATGGACGTGCGTTTTCAATAATATTTCTTGTCGGTATAAAATTTTTAAAAATAGCTATTACACAGTCGCCGAAAATAAGTTCTTTCCTTAAGATTTGAGACATTTTACGAGAGGCGCTTATAAATGTCCTAGATTATTGTAATTTTAGTACCGTATATACTCGTGGATTCGGCCTTTCAGTATCTGTCTATATTTCTGAGATGAGGTATTATGCACACTATTTATATTATTCGGACTATTGTCCTCATCTTTTTCGCCATATTTATTACAACGTTTCGGCCTTTCAGTGTCTGTCTATATTTCTGAGATGAGGTATTAGGTACACTATTTACATTATTTGGACTATTGTCCACAGCATTATCGACATATTTATTACAACGTTTCAGCATTTCAGTATCTGTCTATTATTTCTATTATTACGGTTATTCGACCATTGTCCTCACTAAATACTACATAATTCGGAAAAGATGATTGTCCGAATAATTAAATACTGTACATAATAATCATCTCATGGCAGAAAAAGATCCGAAACGTTGACAATATGTCGACAAAGATGAAATAATATAAATAGTGTACAAAATACCTCATCTCAGAAATATAGACAGATACTGAAGGTCCGAAACGTTGTAATAAATATGGCGACAAAGATGAGGAATAATGTAAATAGTGTACAAAATACCTCATCTCAGAAATATAGACAGATACTGAAGGTCCGAAACGTTGTAATAAATATGGCGACAAAGATGAGGACAATAGTCTGAATAATGTAAATAGTGTAGTGTTGTTTTACATTTATGCCGAGCGGATAAGTCGCACACCTAATATTTTGTGAAATGTTTGGTTAAAAAACGCGATCTATCCGTGTGTATATATGGTAAATCATTACTACACATTTAATAAGCTGATCTACTGACTATATTTATTCGAAACTGAAGGAGACGGTTGTACCAGATCTTTGAATAAACCCTACTAGACATTTTGCTTGTTACAGTCGATTAGTTTGCAGAATGCAGTTTCGACGTGAAGACAATTTGGTAAGTATCTACGCAAACAAACTTCTGAGTTGATGGATATAGGCATTAAAACTGACCCTCTCCCTTCCTACAGTTTCAGACCCTGCTCCTTATAAATTTTAGTTGATCTCAAAGCTGAAAGCGAACATTAGACGCAGTCGTGTTGAAACATTTAGAAGATGGCTGAGTCTGTGACAAGAGTGCTGGTCACCTTCACTTTGATTGATTTTCATGAGACATTCACAAACTGACTGAAGCTCTGCAACAACTGCGTTGAAGTTAGAGGATATCTTCTACTTTGAAGAAGATGAGAGTTTTGTAATTCTTTGAAATTAATAAACGTCTCTCCTGAAAAAGTCTCAAAACCTCTGGAAATTAACTCGTGTTTCTTAGCTGCTGTCCGAACAAATAAAAGAAAACTATGTCAAGTCCATTGATTCGAATACACTGATCACATTCTACCAAGTACCCTGATTCTAAACATGTACTCGGAATTGTTCTTATGTTTTTAAGATAAATGTGCTTGTGATTTTTTTTTGCCCAATATGAGCAAAACAAAAATCTACATATGAGCAGATAATTCTGAGTATGAATTCGAGTCCAACGTAATCGACTTAGTCTAAAGCACGCGTTTTAACCCGGTATCTTAATCTTTCTTCTTTCTTATACATGTTTCTTTTTTTAAATACTTTTCAACATTGCGTAAAGCACATTATGATAACATCAAACACAAGCCAACATATAAACAAAGTGCTTCTCTGTAAAAATGTCTCTATTGATTGTTAAATATATTTAAAATCCCAGTTCCCACACTGAACTTCCTTTCTTATTTAATTTAGGGTTTCTTGAAGTTTCGATTTGAGTCTTACATCTTATCAAACTTTTTAATGTTATTTAAAGCAGAAACTTATTTCTGAATTGTAAGGATTTTTGGAGAGACAATAATAATTTTCTGATACAAGTTTTACTATTTAATCCATAGCTGGGGAAGAAGTGGTGGATTCATACCTTTCCCAAGGATAGTTGCACGTAAGCGAATATAAGGAAACCGACTGGAATTCGAACTCTTCTCTCCAAATTCTCATTCCGAGTCGATATCCATTATACCACACGCACATCCACGCTTACAGCATCTGATGTTCCTGTGCGGTCACCCATCTAGCTACTGACCAGATTCAGCGTTGTTTAACTTCGGTGATCAGATGATAACCGGTACTTCAACGTCATATAGCCGTAAGTCACTTTGTTTCAAATGCTGCACGAAAAATCTTGGTGAGTATTGGAAGATGGTGCTGTTTCTGTGGACACGTTTGCGGCTGAGAGGAAGCAAAGACGACGCCATATTCATCATTCGAGAGGGACCTCTTTGGGCCTCGCTCGGCATAACGATTGTCATCTTTCATACAGTTACCCTATCAGCTCGTTTATATATATATATATATAATAATAATAATAATAATAATAGCTGGCGACTCGTATTCGAGGATACCCGTCTACTCCATTTGTGTTTTGCTTAACACCCACAGAGCCAACCTGTGGTTTATACTGCAACTATGCTGAGAAGACCTTAGTTACAGTTTCTGGGAAAGAGAGCATGTTATCTAGCATAATCAACAATGTCTGAACAATGCCAGCATGCTCAAACTCTCGTTCACGATGACGTGTGATTTCGTGCTAGCACAGCTATTGAGGGCCCACAAGAGTACCGTCTACCCAATTTCACTCACAAGGTTTGGGTCAACTTGTGGTATGGTTTTTGGACACGTTCCAAAGGTACCGCACGGTGGGATCGACCCCTCCAGTCCGATAACATCAGGAAGTCGCCTTCTTGACAAATCGACCATGGTGAGATTCAATCTGGGTCTCATGGTCAGAAAGCGAATATATATATATATATATATATATATATATATATATATATATATATATATATATATATATTTTCATTAAAACGACAGACAAGGTGAATATATATATATATATATATATATATATATATATATATATATATATAATATACAACGCATTTCATCAGTCAATCGCCTATGAAATGCGTTGTATACGCATCAAAACACGAAACATCGAAATAAAAAATACAATCATCCTTGATAATGGCTAAAAGTATAGCCGAAAGTGCTCGTAATTAGAGAACATTTGCACAGTTTCTACACGTGCTGTGTCCAGAAAGAAAAGACTTGTTCGAACACAAGAAAAATTAAATGATATCGTTTTAATGAAACATGTATAAAAGAAAGGATTGTTGCCTAAATACACAATATATATATATGTGTGTGTGTGCGTGTGAGAGAGAGAATTTCAGTTAGAACATATCAGTAAAACGACAATATGAATAAAGATTTCTTTTTGACCTTATTCATATATATAAACACATATAGATATATATATATATATATATATATATATATATATATATATATATATATATATATATATATATATAAGTTAGGAATTTTTTATAGTAATTCATTGAGTCTAGAAGAATCCTCAACAGAATGCAGAAAGCACTGCCGTTTCCCTCTATTTGGGACATATCAGAGCGTATGGAGACACTGACAGTTACGATATGAGGCAAACGTCATACCAACTGCACTAATGGGGCTCGGTGGCAAAGAAATAACGAATTAAACTCGATATTGCGCCGCTCGCTCACATATTCCGTGGTGGAACTCATCCGAGTTTCCCTTTACCCATAGAACTGTGCCGCCACGACTACTCTTCCCAAGCCGCCCCATCCAGAGGATATACAAGTGATAGAAATTAAGAAGGATTTGAATAATCATATATATATATATATATATATATATATATATATATATGATTGGCCTGTTTTGCGTTTAGCATGAAACAGTCTGGCACCTCTGCGTGTTGACTTCAATGTTCACTTTATATATATATATATATATATATATATATATATATATATATTTTATTCGAAATTATAACTTAAATATGTTATAAAATCACTACAAAATAGGCATTTTGTTTCAGCACTTCTGGTGTCTTATCAAGTGAACATTATCTTTTGATAAGACACCAGATGTGCTGAAACAAAATGGCAATTTTTCTAGTGATTTTATAACCTATTTAAGTTATAATTTCCGAATAAATAATTATATTTGCTCTACTCTGTATTGAGCACTCTTTTAAGAATAGTATTTCTTGCTTATTGGAATTTATTCCATATATACCAATCCTATACTTAGATACATACATATATATATATATATATATATATATGTGTGTGTGTGTGTGTGTGTGTGTGTGTGTGTGTGTGTGTGTGTGTGTGTTTTTAACAAGCGTCCACAATATAAAGGAGCTAGCCAGAGATGGTAAAAATGGCATTAAATGTTAGTCAAATACATTTTAAAATTACGTTCTTTCGATCTCCTCCAAGATCATCCTCAGGCCTGTATTGTAAAGACAATCTTCATGTAACTGTGATCGTTGTGATGGTGACTTTTGTAAACACGCATGAACACGCTCTGTTATAATTATTTTCAAATTAACCGTTGTAGCTATGGTATTTTTTTTTTAAAACAAATGCATCTCCCGGGGCAGAGGAAACTGAGCAGATAAAATCATCTCGTCGTATCTATGAGGAAAAGTATTCCTTAAAGCCACTGTTCAAACCTTACTTGATCGGTAAAGCATCTTCGTGACCGATTCGCTAAAAACATGTCAGATATCTATCTCCCCATCTATATATATATATACACCAGATCGTTTATATGCGTATATATGTGTCTGTAGGTATGAGTGTTGTTTACCTGTTTGGGTACATTTGTTTGCGTGTGTTTATGTACATGTTTGTATGTATGTGAATGTACGTGTATGCATGTGTATTTGCGTGAGCACTTATTAATATGTATGTGTGTATGTTTGCGTGTATGTGTTTGCGTGGGTGAATATATGTGTTTGCTTCTGTGCATGTGTATGCGTTCATGTATGTGTGCGGACGTATGCATGTGTGTGCGTGTGGGTATGTGCGTGCCTGTGTGCGTGTTCGTCTACACGAGTCTGTTTGTGTATGCGCGTCTCTGATGTGTATGTACGTGAACGCGTATTGATATGTATGTGTGTGTATTTGCGTGCTTGTGTTTGCGTGGGTGTATACGAGTTTGCGTCTGTGTATGTGTATGCGTTCATGTATTTGTGCGCATGTGTGCATGTGTGAGCGTGTGTATGTGCGTGTTGGGCTATGGGAGCCTGTGTGCGTATGTGTGAGTATGCATGTGCATGTGCGTCCATGCATGAGCGCATATTTATATGCATGTGTGTGCATTTGCGTACGTGTGTTCGCATGGGTGAATATATGTGTTTGCGTCTGTGCATGTTTATGCGTTCATGTATGTGTGCATTTGTGTCCATGTGTGTGCGTATGTGTATGTGCGTGCCTGCGTGCGTGTCCGGTTATCAGAGTATGTGTGTGTATGTATGTGTGCGTGTACCAACTTCTGAAATGAAATCGGTATTTGGACCAAAGCCGTTGGACTTTTTTTTTTTCACACATTTTCGCTTTTTCTTCTCTCGACCCAGTTTTGTTCAACACTCCTTTGTCATTAAAGTCAATTCCTGTTGTTGTCCTTGAAAGATTGGCCAGTAAGGCAAACATTCCAATATTTTAGTTCATTACTTACTTACGTACTCCATTATCTAGAAACACAGTCACACACACACACACACACACACATATATATATATATATATATATATATATATATATCGCGATGTGCTTAAAAATTCTCAGCCCGACCAAGACTTAATAGTAAAAAGATTCTAATTTTAATATTCATTAGATCAGCTTTTGGATAGGTGATGGTACTGAATATATATATATATATAAGAGGTTGCTGACAATGTTTCAGTACCATCACCTATCCAATTTGTAGGTCTGATGATTTGGATCTTATTTACGATTCCAATGGAATAAATTATGACCATGGAATATTAGTGTTTAAGCCTTTTTATTATATCCTTACTCTGTCCTAGACATTGAGTTCTACCTGGATCCTTCCTCTTGGAAAAATTTTTCTGAAAATATACATGTATGGGAATTTTTTAGATATATTTTTCATATGTATGTATATTTTCCACTAATATTATCTCTCTCTCTCTATATATATATATATTATGTATTTAGTCTCGAGTCAGACGAAAACAAAAGAAAATTCGACTGATTTCCGATAGGCAATGTGATTAGAAGCTGGTTACTTCATGAATTTAAGCGTTCAACTAGGCTGGCATCTCGCTCTCACCCTTTCACTATCGAAACTGTTAAAAGTAGCCGTCTCTTCTACTCCAATAGCTTCATGTCTCGCACCTCTCGCCTGTGGAACTCCCTCCCCTTTTCCTGTTTCTCTGATAGCTATAATCTCCAACTATTCTAATGTAATGTCAATCGACGTCTCCAGATGCCCTGATCTATCCCCTATCCCTCTCTTCATCCTTTCCTCTATCACTCCTATTTGCTCTCGCTCCAACTCTCTGTAACCCCTTGCGTCCTAGTGGCTTCCCGCCTTGCTTGGGGTGAAACACTTAATATATATATATATATATATATATATATATATATATATATATAAGATTATCAATCATTTCTACAAATGAGTCGAAATCGCCGACAATTAGACATCGATACAGGGGAATTTGGCATTTAGAAATATATTCTTTTCAATAGGGCCTCAATCCGAGCCGCTATCCGTTACTCCATCGTGACTCCATTCATGTATATATATATATATATATATATATATATATATATATATATATATACGAAGGTGAATAAGTAAAAGTAAAGGAAATATCCATAAAAGACCTTTACTTCCACTGGTGAAAAACAAATAAATGCATATGTCATTTTTCCTGCTCGATACCCTTCTGGTATCATTCAAAAATCTTCTTCATCCCTTCTGAAAAAAAAATCTCTTCGGTTGCTCACGAAGCCGCGCCTGCACCGCTGGTAACGCACACAAACTTTACTCTAACCCAAGGTGCATCGCCTGAGGCCCACAATTACCGCTACTTGCGCTAAACGTCATTTGTCGGTCTTCCTTGATCCTCTGGACGTGTTCTTCCGTGTGCGATGTTAATGATAAATTTTTACCCATCGTACTTGTTCTTCACGATTCAAAGCATTCTACCCTTTTCGTTGATTCATGCTACCTGCCCCCAAATCCGTCGATGGATTTCCGCCTGTCCACAGAGAGCACACTACGGCATGTTGTTAGTCGATAGTCCAATTGCTGAGTAGAGTGTCCATACGCCTGTCCCTGTTGCTCCCTGTCACTCGACTGAACGATGGAATGCTGATCATTGCATGCGCACGTCTGGTGTCAGCGCCCTCTATTGTTTTTACTGAGTAATTTCAAAATTGCCTTTACTTTATTGTTTACCATCGTATTTACTTACACCTTAACATTAATTAACTAAATTAGTTTTCTGTTTTAATTGCTGTTTAGTCTAAAGAAGTTCTTTCGAAATATGAAACGAGTCAACTAGGATTTTTTTCCATTTTGGCGTTCAGTTAGGCTTTATTCTGTATGCTTGTTTAGTCATATAAATGTAATCATATACTTGATATTTGCACTATAACACGTATACAAATATCGATATATCTTCAGTTATTTAAGTCAGAGGTTTTGATGTGGTCGTTGACGAATCCAGGTTTCGATGGGATTATCGAATTGGTCAATAAATGTCTGGCGTTCAAGATGGTGTCGATAAGTGCCTGGAACTCAAAATGAGATCGACTTAAAACCAACATTAATCAATTTCCAACCAAATATCACTGTTCATGAAACTCTCCATTAAATATATCTTTCCCATTAATGATGTCAACCATTATCATTATTATTATTATTATTATTATTTTCTTTGGTTTCTGGCGTTTACACATTTCTTTCCAGGTCCCACCCAGGGACCTAAGTTTAGAAATCGCGTCATGACACTTTCCACTGACAAAAAAAAATTTACATAGATAAAGCCCTTCGTAAAGTGTGGGCTGTACTTGTCAGAACAATTTTTTGTATCTACTTGAGGCATGGACTTCCAGGAATCCCTTTAATTAGTCTACTGCAATCTTTTCCAATCAGTCCTAGGGCTCCAACTACAACAGGCATTTTGATGTTCCCATGTGCCACATTTTCGAGATTTCTATTTCAAGGTCCTTGTATTTTGACAACTTTTTGAATATCTTCAAAGATACATTGCAGTCAGCAGGGACTGCCATGTCAATAAGGAGGCACCGTTTTTGTTTGTGGTCTTTAATAATAATATCTGGGCGGTTGGCCTTGATTGTTCTGTCAGTGTGTATTGTGTAGTCCCATAGAATTGTAACAGGTCCTATCTCCTTATTATTATTATTATTATTATTATAGGAGAAACACATATAGAATAGGAAGAGAAATAGAAAGCGATAAAGAGATCGTAAAAAGTAAAGCGAAAATGAATTTTATCAAGAAACAATAATGAAAAAAAGGACAAAAGAATTTCTCGCCTTAAATAAAAACTAATAATTATTATTGATATTTTTTGTAAATGGCGGTGGCATACTGATATAACAAGGATTCAATGAAAAGCTTTATGATCTAAAAGTTTGATTTAAGCCTCGATTCGTTTGCATTTCTCTTAAATATAACTACTAAAAACGGGAGTCTACTTGAATCACTTCTGTTTCTCTCCCCAACACGCTTCTTCCTTTCATGAATTCAATTAGACGAAATATGTCAAAATTGTGATGTGATTAAATACACATACAAAATACGTCTGAGTCATCAGAAACGTTCGGTCTGTGTGGACAACATCACCAGTGTCATATTGCTCTTCGCCATCTCTCCGTAAGTGAACGATTTGTCTCTCTCAAGACAGTTAAAATAAAAAATTAAAATAAAAATAAATAAAAAAGACTTGTATCTCAAGTGATCTAAATATATACATCCGCTTGGACCGGAAGTCAGCAGTTATTGCCGACAAGTGGCCTGCTCTGGCGACGGGACAAGCAAACTGCTACCTTTCTCTCTACTCTTTCTCATAACTTGATAAATCTATAAGAGATTTGCTGCAATTCGTGTGCCAGATGCCCGTTATCTGCGAATGATTGTTGCATTTGTAAAGAGAGAGAAGAAATTTTATCTGTGTATGTGAGTGTGCGTGTGTGTGTGTGCAAAAGGGTGGTTGCACGTAAAGCTCAATGGTAAGACTCACAAAAAAAGACCTCCAGTGTCTTTATTCATGTCCCTGATATCAACTTACGAACAGCCTAAAATAAAAGATTGAGGGGAACACCGAACGTTCTGAAACTAATTAAAATAACATATCCCCTAGATTAAAATACTTCGTTAAATTTGGGTGAAGGGCTTCATCATTTTTTTTTTTTCATTTAAACAAAAATGCTTTCCTATTATGTATTTGGTCTCAATTTTTCAAAAGAATGGTGAGGACTGTTGCACAAACCTTATTCTTTTAATGCAATGTCCATTCAGGACGAAGGCGATCATGGCTCTCCACAGATTCCTCTTTCGAATTGTCATAACGTATTGAGAAAGATAGTGGAGTGATTTCTCGTTGCCTTCTCCATAGTTTGGAATCCAGAGTTTCCCTTCCCTTAGAGTGGTTTCTATCCGAGGCAAAAGAATCAAACCTACTCTGTTATTTTAACCATAATTAAGAGCAAGAGATACATTCATATCTTTCCTAGGGTCATTAGTGCAAAATAGATGCTTGTTTTAAAAAAAAGGTTTCTAGCGTAATTCTCGGTTATACTGTAGTGATTTATGTAACATTAATTAAAGCCATTTTTCGAATAGACATTTCCAATGTCTAATATTTCAATAGTAAAAAAAATTAAATTAAAAACTTGTGTTCCAGTCATCAAACCATATACTCTAAACACCATCGCTATTATTTTAGTAGATTCGTTCCCATGATTCCTCCATATCAGGGTAATTAAAATGGGTGCGTACAATATAAAAAATATTAACATACCAGTCTTTCGTGCCATTATTTGTTTACTGAATACGAGCCTCAAATTTTCTCTATACGCTCGAACTTCTGTTTGACGATAAAATATTTAGTGAATGTTTCGCTCTCATAATGCTCAAATGTATATTTTTCATAATGAACATGACAGCCAGATGTCTATAAATTTGAAAAGAGTCAATAACTTAGCGAAGGATTTTTTGACATTTGAACCTCTTTAAATACTTGCTGGTTTTAACAAAACATTTCAGTCGATCTATTGTTTAAACCCCGTAAGGTATATTCCCTGAAGATAAAAAAAAAAACTAAGGAAAATAGTATCTTACTAAATTACGAGATCCTGATTTCGAGTGACTATATTCAACGTTAGTATCATTTGTTGGGACCCCCTTACGAATGTTGCTCCAGATCCCAATTCCATCTTATTGGTAAGTATATCAGTCAAGTATTCTCTTCATCCATGAGGAAATTGGCCAACATTCCTCCAGTCGGACAATCTCATCGCAGACTAAAAGAAGAGGCAACAAAGATAAAGTTCTGCAGAATGACGTTGAGATGGGATATGTAAGCAACAGGGAAGTTTTAAGGAAAATGGAAACAAAAAGGACAATTATAAATAAAGGAGAGTTGAAATGTTTTAGGGCACATAATGAGAAAAGAATTCCTAGAAAATTCAACATACAGATCCTGTTGAAGGCGAATGGAACAGAAAAAAGCAGCGTGTAATCTAACCAAGTTTGTCTAAATAGATGACAGAACATGGAGGGAAAACATTGCTAAAGATAGGAAGTTGTGGAGAGGTATGATCGCTCACGTTATGAAGGGGATGGTATACAGAAAAGAAGTAAAGGCTATCTTTTTTCCGATTTACACTACCAAAAAGAACTTGTTAGATGAGACTTGTTAATCGATGTATAATAATGAAAACATCAACTCTAAATCTTATAGTCATACCAATATTCGGGCATATTGAGCAATCAAACCTGTAACACCAAATATAGACGTAAAAATGTTATTGTTTTGCTTGTTTTAAATAACTTATGGGGATTTTATATAGTTTGTATTGAGTCATGGAGTCAAAGTTTTTCAGCGGAAATTGAAACCTTAGAAAACTATGATGCATATCAGCACAGATCATAATCTGATAGACAAAGTAAAAATAATTATTCTTAATCAATTTCCCTCCGCGCTTCAATACCTAGTATCCTGGGATTGACGTTAAAGTACATCCGGCAGAAAGGCCTTTGATCGGGAGATTGGAGGTTTTGAGGAACGTGGAACTACTTCTTAATTGCTGTTGTTCCCAGGTTCACTTTGACCTGGGGTGGTAGCACCTGTTAGGGTCCCACCTATGAGCTAATAGTGAACCCCCCTCCAAAAAAAAACAAAAGCAAAACGCTATGAAAGTATAAAAATACATTTTAATAGTGAAAATACCAGAAATATATAATTATATAAAAAGAAATTAACAACGATACATTTTTATCGTAAAATTACCAACAATAGATTTCATAGCAAAATGACCAACAATAGATTTTATCTGTGGTTGAAGACATGCAATTGCGTTCAAAATATTTAGTCGAAGCCATAAAATTGTTCTGTGCTCACCAACTAACGAATGGTAGGCACAAATAAGTTTTCTCAAGATCGTAATGAATGGCGGGAAATATATCATGTTACTTCGTAATCTCTAACAAGCGGAAAGAATAACTAAGAATATGGAGATTAGAATTTTTATATATAAATCTTTACGGGAATATATTCCAAATTGAGTAATAAAGTTCGATATTTACTTTAGTTTGTTAAGATTTAGTAGAAAGACAAAAAGTTTTCATTATGTAAATAACATTAACCTCATGAGCGACAAGCCATCTCTATTCATATGTGAATCGGCTGATATATTATTTGTATCATATATATTTTCATTTAGATACTTACCTGGCACAGGGCTCGTCCCTGGTCTGGTGGTATCACGGCTAGGACTATCTTGGACCGACTCCGGCCTGGACCAGTTAGGACAAGCCAAGACCAGCTATGACTAGCTTAGACCAGCTCTGACCAGCTTGGACCAGTTAGGACAAGCCAAGACCAGCTATGACTACCTTAGACCAGCTCTGACCAGCTTGGACCAGTTAGGTCAAGCCAAGACCAGCTATGACTAGCTTAGACCAGCTTGGACCAGTTAGGACAAGCCAAAACCAGATATGACTAGCTTAGACCAGCTCTGACCAGCTTGGAGAAGCTTGGACCAGCGGCCCGAATGAAAACATTCGGGTCCCCGCGTTAAAACCTGACCTTGTGTCACAACCTTACTCAGTGGGGGGGGTCAAGTAAATACACTTACCTGGCACAGGGCTCGTCCCTGGGCTGGTGGTATCACGGCTACGACTATCTTGGACCGGCTCCGGCCTGGACCAGCTAGGACAAGCCAAGACCAGCTATGACTAGCTTAGTCCAGCTCTGACCAGCTTGGACAAGCTTTGACCAGCTAGGATCAGCGGCCCTAGTGAAAACATTCGGGTCCCCACGTTAAAAACTGACCTTGTGTTACAACCTGACTCAGTGGGGGGGTCAAGTAAATATCCATATATATTTTCATATATTATATATATTTTCTATATATGGGGCACCTCGACGTGGTGTAATGGCTAGCAAGCTTGTCACGCTAGAATTGTTTCAACTGAGTAGTGAGTTCAGTCCTCACTGGGTGACCCATGCTTTCGGTCTTGTACTACATCTAAGCTGTGCTTAGAAAATCATTTTGTAATCATTTGGATTCACTTCCAAATGTGCTGGTCAAATGTCGAAGGGCAGAGTCTCGTCTGGGAAGGCAGCCCCATTTTTTTACAGGATCAACGGGGAATTTTTGGCCAAGTCTACGGGATCGGATACCCCACAATAAAACTCAGCCTTGTACCATATCCGACCGCGTGGGGCGGTTAGTGAATATCATCAGATATATTCTCAATAACTTTTATATCATTTTTCTTAATAATCTTAGTTAAAGACTGCCGAATGTCCTACTGAGTCAAATGCCTTTTCATGGACAACTTTAGACAATAAATAGTTTATTACATTAATTTTTTCTGCCTTGTTGTTTGTTTCTTTGATTTTCTATTCTATATATTCTATTTGTAACTCCGAAGGTTGCTTCGAAAGTGTTGGTTCACAAAGTCAGGGACAAATGTTGGTGATTTGACAGTAATTCTTTCCAGATAATAACTCAAATAATAACTCATCAAATAGAACAAGCACATATAAGTCACTCATGCACATATCCGTATATAAATTATATATGCCCACGACGTTTCGGCCGTTGTAAGCTTCGGCCTTCTTCAGGATCTGTCTATATTTCTGAGATGAGGTATTGTAACTATTCACACTAGTTACATTGTTCGGACTGTGGTTCTCGTCTTTATTGCCATATTCACAACGTTTCGGCTGTTGTACGCCCCAGCCTTCTTCAGGATCAGTTTATATCCAGTTATTTGGTGAACGAAATAAAGGGTTCGGTTTCAAATTCCAACGTCTATCACCTGAAGAAGGCCGGAGCGTACAACTACCGAAACGTCGTGAATATGACAATAAAGATGAGGACAACAGTCTGAACAATGTAAATAGTGTAAATAGCTTATATATGTTCTATGATAATGCGCTTGTACGACAGTTGCCAACGACTTTATTATCTCCCTTTTCTATAAAGCAAAATAATTGCACGTAAACCGAGGCTTTTGAGGTACCCCTTTCTTTGTCGTATGCACTTGGTAAATAGCTGGACTAATTCTTTGTGGAAGTCTTCTGCTGCAAGTTTTAAATAGTCTTTTAATCTGTTATCTTCCCCTGCTACTTTTTTTCGCGTTTCACATTCTAAAACGTAAACACAACTCGTCTCTTTTACCAGTGATACATGATTATTATCTACCGGAGTGAATGTTGGCAGTATTTTTTTATTTTTTTTTTTTATTGTTTGAAGCGAAAAGGTTTGCAGAGTACACTTCGGTTATCCTCAACATCTGTTCCCTATCTGTGACGTGTTTGTCTATATGTGTGTGTGTGTGTGTGTGTGCGTGTGTGTGTCTGTCTGTCTGTCTGTCTGTCTGTCTGTCTCTCTCTCTGTCTCTCTCTCTCTCTCTCTCTCTCTCTCTCTCTCTCTCTGTTGTTTATCTCTGTGTGCTGTGGACCGGTTTTGTTTCATCATCCGTTTTGCCTTTTCATTCTTCTGTTGATTATTCCGTTTAATTCTACTGTTTCAGCTTTTATCTTCTTTAGTTTTTTTCATCTCCATATCTCTCCGCATCTCCTCCTTCCTCTCTCTCTCTCCCTCCCTCCCCTCTCTCTCTCTCTCTCTGTTTCAGCTTTTATCTTCTTTAGTTTTTTAATTTCCATATCTCTCCGCCTCTCCCTCCTCTCCCCCTCCCCTCTCTCTCCCTCCCTCCCCCTCTCTCCCTCCATCCCCATCTCTCTCTTTTCTCTCTCTTTATCAGCTTTTATCTTCTTCAGTTTCTTAATCTCCATATCTCTCCGCCTCTCCCTCTCCCTCTCCCCCTCACCCCCCTCTGTCTCTCTCCTCTCTCTTTCTCTCTCAGCTTTTATCTTTAGTTTTTAATGTCCATATCTCCGACTCTCCCTCCTCCTTCCCTCTCTCCCCTCCCTCTCTCTCCCTCCCCCCATCTCTCTCTCTCTCTGTTTCAGCTTTTATCTTCTTTAGTTTTTTAATTTCCATCTCTCTCCGCCTCCCTCCTTCCTCTCTCTCCCCCTCTCTCTCCCTCCTCCCCCATCTCTCTCTCTTTCTCTCTCTTTATCAGCTTTTTATCTTCTTTAGTTTCTTAATCTCCATATCTCTCCGCCTCTCCCTCCTTCCCCTCTCTCTCTCCCCTCACCCCCCTCTGTCTGTCTCTCTCTTTCTCTCTCTCTCTCTCAGCTTTTATCTTTAGTTTTTAAATGTCCATGTCCTTCCCTCTCTCCTCCCCCTCTCTCTCTCCCCCCCTCTCTCTCTATGTTTCAGCTTTTATCTTCTTTAGTTTTTAATGTCCATCTCCCGACTCCCTCCTTCCCTCTCTCTCTCCTCCCCCTCTCTCTCCCTCCCCCTCTCTCTCTCTATGTTTCAGCTTTTATCTTCTTTAGTTTTTTAATGTCCATATCTCTCCGCTTCTTCATCAGCTCTAGAGTTGAAATTTCCCTTTGTCATCTTCATCTCTTCTTACTGGTGTATCTACGTCATGGCAAGTAGGGTGCATGCCATGGGTGCCACTTTGGGGTGGGGGGCCGCCACGATGTCACTAAACAAAATACTTTTAGTGTAATAAACAATAATTAAGAATTAAGCTTTAAATCCTCAGGCATCGGTCAACAACGACAGACTTTTTCTGTTGAATGTTGCCAATGACAATTTTGTGTTGACATCGTCGTTGAGAGTTTCTAATTGACAAATGTGCACCAGTGAATGCAAAAGAAGGTGCAGCTCTTTTGCACCTGTCTTAGTTCCTTCTTTCCAGAAACAACATCGCTCGAAGTCCTTCAACAGCAGCAACAACTAACACGGATAGCACATGGAACTCGAATAACATCAATATGTTCACTTATACTTATTACTGTAGACAAAAGGGTAGGAAAGTCGCTCTTATAGCAATACTAGAAAGAGCCATAACAGTTAGTGGACTTGTAAAGCTTATTTTCTTTCATTCAATGTCGAATGTTTCCTTACAGGGAAACGTCTATTCTCATCAGTACCATTACTACACACACACGCACACACACACACGAACGTGCACACTCTCTTTTTTCTCTCCCTCCCTCGCTCTCTTTCTCGTACCCACACACACATACACACACACGCGCACACACGCACACAAACTCAGACGCATGTGCACACACCCACACACACGTGCGCACACACACTCACACATAATCATACACACACACAGACAGATAGATAGATAGATAGATAGATAGATAGATAGATAGATAGATATGAACAGACTGAGATAGATACGCAGCTTTTAAAGTTCGTTAAAAGGAGAGATTGCAGTAAAAATGGAAAGTGCTAAGAGAGTTTTGGATTCCGTCCCAAGTAGATATATAGATAGATAGATATCGATCAGATTTAGATAGATCGATAGATAGATAGATAGATATTGATCAGACAGATAGATAGATAGATAGATAGATAGATAGATATGAACAGACTGCCATAGATATGAACAGATTTCGATAGATAGATAGATAGATAGATAGATAGATAGATAGATAGATAGATAGATATTTGAATTTTTGTTTCTAGTTCTTTTTCGTAGCTTTTCGTCAATAATGTCTGCTATTGTTATTATCGATTATAATTAAATGATGATAGTAAAAATAATGATATTTATCCCTGGGTGTGATGATAAACTACACCCGACAACAAAGCGTCTGATCCTGAGATTGGAGGATTTGAGGATCGTGGAACCACCTGTTAATTGATGTTATTCCAAGGCCCAACCTAACGCTGGGTGGTAGCACCTGTTAGGGTCCAAGCTATGGGCAAATAATGAATCCCCAAACAAAATCACTACGAAAGTATAATTATACATTTCTATACTAAAAATATCAGTTATACATTTTTATATAAAAAGAATTACCAACAATACATATTTATAGTAAAAGTACCAATAATACATATTTATAGTAAAATTAAAAGTACATTTTATAGCAAAATGACCAACAATATATATTTATAGGCATATAATTGCGTTCAAAATATATTTAGTTGAAGCCATAAAACTGCGTTCACAATGGTTAGATTTCGGCATTAAATAACCCACAGAGGTGCTGATATGTCGCTAAACAAAATAAACTAACCAAAAACATGAACACAATCCACGATTTCATGTCGTACGATAATTTGTACATGGCTTAACCGCGAGGGGAGGACTTCCAGTCATGTCTCCTCGTATGTAAGATAGTCAGAAAATGGCTTTTAAATTCAAACGAATTATTTTCACTTTGTACGAGCGCAGGAAAAAAAGGCCCATAATTAGGGTGTCATACAATTTATATTCTCTTATAGTGGAACACACCTATTCTATAGTTAATAGACTCTCCCACATATAATAAGTAGAGTAATGAGTGGCTCAGCGAGTTGTTCAGTCATTCGATGTCGGACGACCGTTAGTCGGATACTTAAAGTATCAGCGACCACAACTAGATTTCTCTGCGTCATACCTATTATATCAAGTTCCTAACGTTTTGTACGTCGAACCTATTTTAGGACCGACTTAGTACAAATACAAGCCCCCACTGTGAAACCACTCTACAACATATTCTTTTGTAAGACTTACAGTTATACAAGTTTTTTTTTTTTAATACTCTGGTTGAAATTTAATTGAAAAACTTTTTTCAGCGTGTTAATTCAATCAAAGAATGACAAGACGTTTTGCTTTTTTTATGTATGTATGTAACAATAATGGCTGGTCGTTCGTATTCTAGTATGTCTGTCTACTAGGGAGGATAGCCAATCCCTATTGCAGACGCCCGCTCAGGCTCATCTGTGTTTGTCCAAAATCCACATAGCCCGACTGTGGTTTATACTGCAACTATGCTAAGTAGACCTTACTTAAAGTTTCTGAGAAAGAGCGTGTTATATGGCGTAATCAACTGTTTGAACAAGTCAAGTACACTGAAACCTTCGTTCACGATGACTTGTGATTTCGTGCTAGGAAACCATCGACGGTTCCAAAATAATTCTATCTTCTCAATTTCACTAACAGGGCTTAGATTAACCACTGTTAGGGTTTTCTGGAAATTTCCAGAGGAACCGCAGACCGGGATCCCTTCTACAGGCCGCGAATATGAAGAATTCGTCTTCCTGACAAATCGACCACGGTGAGATTCGAACCCAGGTCACATGAGCAGAAATTGATACTCAGCCACGTACCCATTGTATGTATGCTTATAGAGAACACAAATATATATATCAAAATTTTATGTTATATATATATATATATATATATATATATATATATATATATATATATATATATATATATATATATATATATATATATATATATATATATATATATAGGATTAATATGCTTGAACGTGATCTCCGACAATTGTTTTAAGACATTTTTTATGTTTATACGCTCTTTTTATAATTTCATAATGTGTGACGTCATTTGTTTACATTTGGATACGCATCGAGCAGATATGAATGTATGAGAGAAAATCATGGTGAATTGTGGTTTAAAAACAGTAAAATCGACCTTGCTAACCGAAACGTTCCTCTGTGGCTCAATCGGTTAAAGGCACGTCAGGCAATATGACTGTTCCGTATAGGATACAGGTTCGATTCCTGTCGGAGGACGCATATTTTCTATGAAAATTTCCCGGACATTCAGGCCGGTAAATGTTGTTAAAACTGTTTATTATAAACGGAGCATTTACTTAAATATTTGTATCTATAAAACGAACGTATAGACATAAAAAATGTCTTAAAATATTTGTCGAACTAAGTCTATTTCATAATATATATATATTTGTATGTATGTTTTTTTTATATAACGAAAGTGATGGAAACACATACACAGGATTTCTATTTTTTATATACTTATTATTCCATATTACTATCTTTAAAAGCTCTGTGTAACCCCCCTTCATTAATCAATATAAAAATTGGCGTGAGTTCTTCTGTTCTATGTACATTTCAAACTCCACCTGGACGAAGCAGTATGCGTAAATTTTAGCTCTGTCAGTTTAACGTTTCTTGGGTATTTCCGGCTTCTGGTGACAAACAAGGTCTTTTATAGATGTTAATCATTCCATTCTAGGCAGAGAACTTTTTTTTTTGATTTGGGAGCAGTTGAGGAAATATATCTAACGTAAAATAGATATAGTGTTGCTATGGAAGTGAAAAGTGTTTTTGTTGAAATCTCTTTGATACATTTACGCCTACGTGGGCAAATAAGGCCATCTGTGAAAATAGTTTTTGTTTTTTTGAGTAGGTGCAGACGACGTATATGTAAGCGTTGGCGTCTCAATGGATAGTTCTTCAAAATTCCTTCATTTCTTTATTTTGAAGTTCTTGCAGATTTTACTTGACGAACTGCAAACTAAGCCTCTAAGATTATGTTTAGCTTTCTTTTCTCTTTCCATCTTACTTTATTTCCTTCGGGCTTTCTTTTCCCGTTCTTTCTTTGTTTCTTTCTTTATTTTTTCCTATTTCTTTTTTCCTTTTTTCTTTCCCGTTCCTCTTTGTTTATTCCCCCCCTTTGTGTCCCTTCTTTACTTACCTCTTTCTTTCTTTCTTTCTTTCTTTCTTTCTTTCTTTCTTTCTGTCATTATTTACTTCATACTTTCTTTCTGTCTTTATTTTTTTCTTTTTTCTTTCTTTATTTCTTTCATACTTTTTCCCATTCTTTCATTGTTTCTTTATTTTTTCCATTTTTCTTTTGTATTTATTCACGTTCCTCTTTAATATTTTTTTCTTTTTTCCTTTTATGTCCCTTCTTTACTTACCGCTATTTTTCTCTTTCTTTGTTTCTACACAACACATCATTATATTTACACCATCCTCTAAACCTTTCTTTCACTTGTGCAAGAAATACTAAATTAAAATGAATCGCGAAATGAATGCGACAATGTACATGAGAATCATGAGTGACCACAGATATTACTTCCGAAATGACATCGTAACCTCCAAGTATCCTACACTTCGAACGTCTTCATAAAAATACAACAAATCCCGCCATGTTTGTTTGTTTAAATCCCGCCATTGTTAAATTTCTTCTTGTATTTTTCTAATTTCTGGAAGAAGTTGTTTTACATCAAAAAGCAATTTTTGATGAACTTTTGTTGTTTTCGTCTAAATATTTTGTAAACAGCCATTTCAATTTGCTCGTCTTGTATCAACATTACTTTTTCGGTGCATAAGAAATTTGGGGGGAAAAAATGAAGA